CCCCATCCCGTTCCCCATTCCCCATCCCGTTCCCCATCCTATTCCCAGTCTGGGAGCTGTAGGGTTGGCACATACTGAGTCCACTCATACCAAGGTGAGTTGTGCAGCAGTTGCAGGTGCTGCTGCTCTGGTATTTGGTTCTTACCCTGCTGACAGGTGAGCTGTGTGCACAGGGAGAGCTTCACTCTGGTGGTGGCTGAAGAGCAGAGACACAGGCCTGTCCATGCCACGGCAGGAGGAAAGCCTTGGGAAAGAACCAGCTTTCAGAAAAGGCTCTTAAAATATATGTTGCAACGTTTAGCAGCACTGCACAACTTGCTAAACATTTTTGAATTGTAATAAATTGGCCAGATTTCCTACCTCTAAACTAGCACAAAGGAGGCATTGATGAAAATGGATTAGGTATCTCACCAGTTAGCTGTTGCTTGGCTTGGCTACCAGTTCCATTTCAAATTAACATCATTAGTCATGTGCTGATGGGCAAGCAGTTGGTAGTTTGGGACTACTGGAGTGCTGCACAGCTCCTGCCAAGGAGCTCCTGTCCAAGCAGTATTAGCTGCAGAGCAAAGACTGTGCTGTGAGTTTTAATGTTGCTTAAATCTTCTGCACTTTGTCCCACCATTCCCACGAAGACAGCAGTCTTCCACGAGGAATGAGTGTTTATTCAAGGCAGCAGGTTACTGACAGGCCATGGATCAAGCCTGCAGCTCTGTCTCTTGATCATTAGTTTGTGTGTGTTTGTGATTTATTTTTTTTCTCATGAAAAACTGGCATCTGGCTAATCTGAGGGTTATGGGATTGTTTGTGGTAAGTAGCCCCGAGAGGGAAAGACAGAGGAATGGATGGAGAGAGGAGGTTTGGGGATTTTTGCCCCAACCCTGGCAGTGTTCAAAGTCAGGTTGGATGAAGCCTTGAGCAACCTGCTCTGGTGGGAGGTGTCCCTGCCCCTGCAAGGAAAGGTTGAGACTAGATGATCTCTAAGGTCCATTCCAACCCCTAAAATTCTATGATTCTATGATCTTGTGCTCCTAAAAAGTGCAGAATTGCAATAAGAGGGAGAAGGAGTAACCTGAAAACTCCCTGCATATTTCATTGTGAGGAAATGGACTAAACCTTCAACATATTTCTTGCTTTTTCTACTTGTAAAGAAAAAATAATTTTTAGACAACAAGAAGTAAAAGACACTTTTGGAGGCTGAAGGAAATTATTAAAGAGATAAACCCCAGAAGCTAGTACATGTATTCACTAGAAAATAAGTAACAGGAAAGGCAAGAGAAATGCAGTAAGATTGGAGATAAAACAGGAAGCATGTGAAGACAAGAGAACCTATACCCTATATGTTGAACTAAACATATGTATTACCCTATGTGGAGACAATAAAAATAGTAAAGAAGTTAGAGAAAGGGAAACAACATGAGAAAAATCACTGATCATTGCATTTAAGTGAGCACAATGATTGAGGGACTCCTGTATATAATTCTGCCTAGTCCTGGTTCCTGAGATAGGTAATGAGCTGCCAATGCAGATGTAGTTTAGGATGCTAGAGGTGAGTAACTGTGCCAGAAATTGTAGTTATTTTGTGACAGATCCCGTGATGAGACTCATACATTGACGAGTATGGGTGCAGGTTTGCTGTGTGCATCAAAAAGGAGTAGACAAAAGCGCTGAATATTCTCCTCTCAGCTTTGATGTATAGTAATAGTCACATCCATAACAATTCTCACTGCAATTCTGCCCCTTTCTGGTCTCTGAGTGCAGTCCTTGAGGTGAGTGCTGTACTGCTTGTAGGTGACTTTGGCTGCAGTGTTCCCCTGTCCCTACAGCACAGGATCTGGCAGCAGGGTCCTGTGTATGCCAACTGCTTTTCTGGCCAAAAGCATGTGGAAACTGCTTTGCCCATGTCATTTAACACAATTTCTTATAAATCCAATATATAAATTACATAAGGGGTAAGAGATCAATAGTCCTCACTGAATGCTGTGCATCCATCCATTATAAAAGTGGGCAGACTAGCAGGGATGCTGTTAATGTTGGAGGCTTTCTACCCTTCTCAGGTTAGTTCTTAGTAGAAAAAATATACTGATTTAGACAAAAAGGTCTGGCCCAGACCTGTGGTTATGCCTCTGAAAAGCTGATAGCTGATGGTTAGAAAGAGATTTTCCTCCTGCAGTGTATTCTCAGCAAGCTTCTGTCAGTTTGCTGCCTTGAACTGGGGCTCAGTTGTATTTTGAGTGTTGAAGAGGTCTCGTGGTTTTAGCAGAGCTACCTAAAAAGTAAAAAGTGTCGTTGCTATGTTTTTGTGTCTTTATCTGATCTGAATTTCTCTCCTCTGAGAGCTGGAGAGTTTTTCAAACGATTGTGATGTCTGAAAGCAAAGGTGATAAATCTCTGTGCTTAAGTAGGAGATGGTAGATGGCATGGCAGGCTGAAAAATTAGGACCTTTGAGACCAGCATGAATCTTAGGACAAGTTTTCCCTCTGTGGAGTGCTAGGATGAGAATAACTTTTGAACTACTTAGCTGGAAAGAGGTCAGTTCTCTGGAACTCATATTGTATTATTTGCCTTTCCTGGTCAACTGTTTTCAAGATCATGAAAAATAAATGTGTGTTGGACATGGCATGCTCAGTTGGCAGCTAGGGAATTACAGCAGGAAACAGGAGATGACAAACATCATCTCTATGATGGTCACAGCCCCTGTAATTGTCCAAAAGACAGCTGGAACATCTTTTTACCTAGATGCAGTGTTTCAGGAGAAGTACTTCAAAATGAAATCATAAAAGGAGAGAAAAAAAGGACCTTTCAGAAGCCAAGCTGGAAACCTATGGCACTGAGAAAACAAAAATAGGCCTGAACACTGCCCCTTGTAGCTAGAAATTATGATTTTTCTTTTTAATTAGAGATATCCTGTTATTTTTCTCCTCTCACCCATTTCACATCCACATTTTGGGTCCCAAATCTGGCTTGAACTGCTTGTCTGCCTGCACAGGCTTTTGACATACCCTGAAGAGGTTTTCCTTCTGTCAGCTACAGTCAGATCTCTTACTGGAAACATTTGCATTGCTGGAAGGCCAAAGATAGCTGGAAAAGCAATTGGCACCTGTAGCAGTAGTACTGGTGTTGCAGGTGGACATGCTGAAACAGTGTCAAAACCAGGCTTGCTTCTGTTATTGAAGCTTTGTGAGAATGAAGATGATGGAATACTGCTATATGACTGAAAACCTTAAGATAAATTTCCTTAGAAGTATTAACTAGCATGGTTTTTGCAGCTTAACTGGCAATGAGAGCATTTCTTATTCCCTGGCAATTGACTCATGTGGTTGTACAGAAGTTTATGGTCACAAACCATGCAGATGTGACTCTCATTGGGATTGCATGTGGTTATTTTTTGAGGACTGGAGCATCTCCCTATGAGGACAGGCTGAGGGAGTTGGGGCTGTTCAGCCTGGAGAAGAGAAGGTTGTGTGGAGAACTCAGAGCACCTTCCAGGAGCTGAAGGGGCTCCAGGGAAGCTGCAGAGGGATCTGTGTTAGGAGCTGCAGTGACAGGACAAGGGGCAATGGGGAAAAATTGAAAGAGGGGAAATTTAGACTAGATATTAGGAAAAGGTTTTTTTCCTGTGAGGGTGGTGAGACACTGGCACAAGTTGCCCAGGGAGGTAGGAGATGCCTCAACCCTGGCAGTGTTCAAAACCAAGTTAGATGAAGCCTTGAGCAACCTGCTCTGGTGGGAGGTGTCACTGCCCATGGCAGGGGGGGATGGACTAGATGATCTCTAAGGCCCATTCCAACCCCTAAAATTCTATGATTCTCTTTTAGTACTGAGTTTGATCCTATTGCTAATTATGTTGGTGGTTTTGGATTTTTGTTCTTCCTGAGCCTACAAACACAAAGCTTACAGGACTGTTGTGAGGACCTCACTGTAGGAGATTTTTGTGTTAGATCCTCTTTGGTGAACCATTCTGATGTTGTGTTGCATGTGTTCTCAAAAGGAAGCATTCACTTCTGTTGAACTGTTCAGCACCTGAGTTCAGGCTCTCAGATATCTTATCTCTCCAGCAACAACTGAGACAATGATACTTTATTTCTGCAGGATAAATATTCAAGCATGAGGAGACTCAGGTTTTTGTAGGTAGACAGTGATGTTTGCTTCTAGGTTTTTCCTTGTGGGTTTGGGGTTTTTTTTTGCCATGAAAGATGTAGCTTAGAATTTCACATTTCCCATCATGGCTGGGGATCATAATCCAGCTAAATGGACAAAAAGTAAGAATTGAAATCTACTGCTATGTTATATGACACATGCATGTTAGAGTTTAGTCATTTTGGTTATGGGAGGTATTTTTTCTAATCTGGAATGAAACAATTACTGTGTCAATCTTTTCCTCTTTCAAACAGGAAACGTCAACTTTACATGGGCCACGTCTGACAACATGCACCATCAGTGGCTGCTGCTAGCTGCATGCTTTTGGGTGATATTCATGTTCATGGTTGCTAGCAAGTTTATCACACTGACTTTTAAAGACCCAGATGGTAAGTTCAACTTTAATGTGTGATGGGAAACACAAAATTGAGTAATGCTTCACACAAATACTCTTCTCTGGTCCGGAAAACATGTGGGATGAGGAAGGGCTGAGGGAATTGGGTTTGTTTAGCCTTGAGAAGAGGCTCAGGGGTGACCTCCTGGCTCTCTGCAACTCCCTGCCAGGGCTGGAGAGAGGTGTGGGATGTGTCTCCTGGCAGTGCTGCAGGGAGAGGAATAGAGGGAATGGCCTTGAGCTGAGACAGGGGAGAGTCAGATTGGATGTTAGGAGAAATGTTTTCCCTGTGAGGGTGTTCAAGCACTGGAATAGATTGCCCAGGGAGGTGGTGGAGTCACCATCCCTGGAAGTGTTTCAGAGGCATCTGGATCTGACACTGGAGGATCTGGTTTAGGGTTTAGGGGTTCCAGCAGTGACAGGTTAATGGTTGGACTCGATGATCTTAGAGGGCTCCTCCAGCCTTGATGATTCTCTGATTCGGTGATGAGTGGTTCTCAGCATGTTACCACTTCTTCAGTAGGACTGAGAACAACTAAATTTCTAGCAGTGGCAGTGCTGATATTCAGTTCCTACTTTACGTGGTTGAAGTCTGCCAAACTAGCATCAGGTCTTTTTTCTTTGGTGGTGAAGAACAGAAGGGATCATCTTTGGCAATACTATCTTGGTAGATCTGCTTTTTCAAATACATTCAGTTTCAGTATCTTGATCTACTACGGGTAGAAGTCATATGCAAAACAACAGAGCACAATTACCTGTTTCAAGTCAGAGATGATTCACAGAGTATTGAAGAGTTCATTTCACAGGACACTAGTTTCTGTCCTTTTGTGACTGAGGTATTATGTAAAACTTGTGGAAAGTTTTATTTCATTTGCAATGCACTTTGCCTAGCTACCTTTGCCCTGCTTCTTGCATTCAGCTTTATCCTCTGCTGTTTGACTTGCAAACAGCTTAGAGGCTTTTGCTTAGCTTAAGTAGCCCAGATGTTATTAAGCTGATGAGGAATTTAAGCCAAGAGATGACACCACACAGCATGTTAGTTTTCTGTCTGCTGTTACAAAGCCATTCTACAGAGAGTTTTGGGTGAAGGTGGTGATACAACTTAGTCTTAAGAGATCTGTGTTTCTGCCTCTTCCTAAGATATGTGAAAAAATGTGTAACTTTTGAAGCACTGACATCACTAGTGCCATATGTTTCAGTAACTTGATAATGGATAAACATATTAGGTGTAGCTTTATAAATAGAATGCCTCTATGGAGGTGTTATCCAGAGATTCAGACATTATGGAGATTGATTCTTACAGAGGAGAACTGTAGGCTAACTTAGCTTGCCTTGGACCCAGCTCTTTCTGAGCCCTAGTACATCTGCAAATCAGCTGATCTTATGTTAGATAGTTATGTATTTCCACTACTTCATTCTATCCCTACTCTTGTTTCCCAGCTCAGGGATTCTTTGAGTGGTTCTTACCACCAGAACTTGTGAGAAAGATTAAAATGTAGTTAAAAAATAAATTACTAGAGTGTGCCCTCTGCATTTACTGCCTTTTTATTATCTTGGCTTGCCAATTTTACTTTTTTTTCTTTTTCCTCTGTGCTGAATCCTCCTCCCTTTTTGAATAATTCTCTGAGCAGATGTATAATATCTTAAGTTCTTCCTGCAAAGGCATGACTGTGGTTAAATGCATGCATGTGTTGGAGATACTAGGGTTTGTACCAGAACTGATGTAGGAAAGTAAGTTGAATATACCAACAGAGTTTTGGAGAAAGTCCAAACAGGATGACCAATCCTGGAGGAACTCTATGAAGGAATTCTATGATTCTAACTCTTCCAGACTTAATAAAATATGTCTTGTCAGAAATTTTCCTTATTTGAATGTGTCTTCTCAGCAGCTAGAATAAAACCAGCAGATGCTCAGTGAATCAATATTCTTTTGTTTAAGCCTTTTACTGGTGTCTTGGGTGCATGAGCAATAGGAAGGTCTTAATGAGAAGGAGAAAGTTTCTGCCCATCATCTCTAGTAGCATCCGCAGGCGTGTTTTTACACAATGATCATGAAAGGTACTTCAACTGCTCTTTCACTGCATCAGATTACTTTCATTTTACAAAAGAATACCATGAAGTAAGTCTGCGCACAGCAATATTTGCTGGATCTGATTGCTTGGATGCTTATGTTGCTTTCAGTTTTAACTTGCCTTTCCATGCATGCCCTTTGTGAAAACCCAGTGTAGGCAGAGTACTCCCTCAAGACAAAGGCACAGGCAGTACATTTTCTTAGCAGTAAAACAGTAAGCCCCCACAGATGCAGACGAAGAAACATTATTCACAGAAGAAACTGTATGAAGGGAAAAGCAGTCCAGTGTGGATGGAAATAAATTTTCAGAGGGAAATCATTTTCTTTTTCCTTTGTAGCTAGGGAGAGCTGCTTCAAATTGTTTTTGATCTTTCTGCACTCTGTAGACTAAAGCTACAGCCTTGTGTTATTTTTCAGTTGTTCTATACCATACCAGTTGCAACAGATGCAAAGAGTTCATTCCTTGCAGGCTTTAATTTGGTCTCAAACTATTGGCTGCTCTGAAACCATTAAAGAAGAACAAGAATATCAGCTGAATTTGTTGTTGTGAGGGTTTCTAAGAAAGTAATAAAGCAAAAGGGGATCTGTATTCATTGCTGGTTCAAGGTGTTTACTTAGAGCACCATGGAAATAAAACCTGGTCCATAATGACACTTTTATTCTGGTAATGTTTAAGAGTTTACAACAGAAGAAACCTATCTACTAATATGAGGGGAGAGAGAAACCTGATAGATGAAGTTTTTTATTTGGACATGCTCTGAGATGTTCATTGACAAATAATATCCTGTGCACAAGTCCATATAATTATACCAAACTGTCTACCAGTTGTGATATTTGGAGCCAAGATTTCCATGTCTCTTTGCACAATTTGTTTCCAAAAAAGACACAAAAGATTCCTCCAAAACAAAGTAAAAGGTAACAGACATGTTTCTTTGATTAACCTTGACTAAGTTGCATCCAAAATTCCCACAGAGTACATCCTTTAAAATATTCATAGTCTGTCTCATGTCTTGTCTAGCACCTTTCCATGCAGAAACAAGTCCTAATGTTTTGTAAGCCTAGTACAGAAAATAATGTTCTTTTGTGTTAGTTGTAAAGCAGAACTAGTTGCTTTCCACCCACCTTCTGTAATGCTCTTATCTCTCTCCCTTCTTTAGGCTATGGTGCCAAGCAAGAGCCATTGATACCGACAGCTGTGACAAAAGTGGAGGAGGTACATGTGCCAGAGGAAAAACATTGGCCTGAAGAATTCCAGGTGCACACCGTTGAGATAAGGGTTACATGTATTAAAGAGTAGGGGAAAATAAGAGATTAAATAAGGGCTTCCTGTTGTTAAAATGAATTTCAAGACAGGAATTAGTTATTCAGGCTGTTCTATTCAGATAGAGCACACATAACTCATTTTAACTTCACAAAGCTAGTTTGTTATGGGAACCTGCTGTTGTGTTTCTTCTGAGTGATTCAACTTAATCTGTTTCCATTCCTGGGAGAAAATGGTTACAGTGCTCCTTTATCAAGTCAGAGCAGTCATTTTTGTTAGCCTTTGGAACATAATGGCCCAGTTTTGGATTACTTGTGTTCTGCCTTGCCACAGCCATCAGGTTTGTGGTTGTTGAGGGCAAGTTTGTGCCTTGGCTGCTCTCTTAGTTCTCTGTTTCTTTTCTCAGACTCCATTTCGTTTTCAGGTTTTGTGCTCCTTGTGCTTCACATTTCAGCATTTTTCCAAAGCAGAACGTGAACACAACAGTAGTCAATACCAGTTGACCCTTTAGATCTGTAGTTCTGTGCTCTCAGCAATAAATGTGGTACTTGCTAATTCGCAAGGAAACCCTGAAAATCCCTTATGCAAATGTAAATTTGAGACTAGTTGCACAGTGGGCTAAATCCAACTTTTTTTTCACATTAGAACCTAAGTCATCTTATGTTTTCAAGTGTTTTTGTGATGCAGCATGAGAGGTAGGTTAGCTGTATGAACACAACACTTTGTTTTCATATGTAAAAAACCTGAAATTTAAGTTAGCCTCAAAATACTTGGGAAAAACACTTTGTTCAGTGGAAGGCTGGTAGTTCTGTGTAGTGAGTTTGAATATCTTCCTTTACTTGTATGGAAGAGGATAATAAGGTTTCTGGATCTAAAAGTATTCCCTCATGACTTCCTGACAGCATGAAATGCTGAAAAACAGCATTAATTCTGGCTGCATGCAAAGAGAATTGTTTTGACAGATAAACAGTCTGACAGACTATTCAGATTACATTCTGACCAGGGGATATTGGAGAAAAGTGACAAACAGAAAAAGTAGAATGAGGTTTTTTTTCTTTGTGGAGGATTAGTACAAAAAGTGAAAACATTCTTACTTCAACTGTAGCTTGAACACTGTACTAAAATCATAGAAGCACAGAGTGGATTGGGTTGGAAAGGACCTCTGAAGATCATCTAGTTCCCACCCCCTTGCCATGGTCAGGGACACCTTCTACAAGGTCAGATTGCTCAAAGCCCCATCCAGCCTGGCCTTGAACACTTCCAAATGGGCCATCCACAGCTTCTGTGGGCAACCTGTTCCAGCATCTCATCACCCTCATAGGAATAAGTTCTTTCCTTATGTCTAGTCTAAACCTATCCTTTTTCAGTTGAAAACCATTACCCCTTGTCCTGTCACTACAGACCCTGGTAAAGCCTCTCTGGGTCTTTCTTGTAAATGCCTTGTAAGCATTGAAAGGCTGTGGTGAGGTCTCCCTGGAGCCTTCTCAGGCTGAGCACCCCCAACTCTATCAGCCTGTCTTCATAGGAGACCTATGATCACCTTCATGGCCTCCTCTGGACATTCTCTAACAGGTCCATGTCCTTCCTGTGCTGGGGCCCCAGAGCTGGATGCAGTGCTCCAGGTGGGTCTCACAAGAGCAGAGTAGAGGGGAAGAATCACCTCCCTTGACCTGCTGGCCATACTGCTTTTGATGCAGACCAGGATACAGTTGGCTCTCTTGGCTGCAAGTGCACATTGCAGGCACATACCCAGTTTTTCATTTATCAGTGTCCTTCTGACAACACAGAACTTTTATCCTAAATTCTTCTTTCCTATCCAGGTGGGTCAGCCTCATCTTCTCAGAGCTTAAAGCATAATTTATGTTGAAATTCCTGTCTGAACTCTTCAGCAGTTCTCTTACAGGCTGTGGAAGCTTTGTGGGAGTTGCAGTATTTGGTCAAGGAATGTTTTATCCATACAGATAAGACCCTGCTGCCATGCAGCAGGCTTAAATTGTTGTAAGGAAAAGCTCTTACTACTTTATACTATTATGTAATGGCTTAAGAGTCAAACCAACATGTACAGCAGCAGCACAGGAAGGAAAATGTGGGGTACTCCTTTAGTTAATGCATAGCAATGTTTTAATCGTGAATCTGGGAGCATTTGGTGCACAATTGGGGGATTTTTATATGTTAGAATTAGGTCTGAAAACTAAATGATTTCACTTTCGGTTTTGTTTTTTTTCTTTCCCCTCTGCATTCCATAAAGCCAACTGGAAAAGCTTTTTCTGGAAATCTGATCCACCAACCCCTGGTTCATATGGAAAGACTTGAGCTTCTCAGGAATGTCTGCAGAGATGCTGCATTGAAGGATCTCTCTCACACTGCAGTTTCCAAATTCGTCTTGGACCGAATATTTGTGTGTGACAAGCACAAGATCCTGTTCTGTCAGACACCAAAAGTGGGCAACACTCAGTGGAAAAAAGTCCTGATGGTTTTAAATGGTATCTACTCTGCTGTGGGGGTGTGGGTTTCTTAGAAGAAAGACCAGACTTGGTCCAGCTGGGGCAACAGAAAAATGGATTCTTTCTGTATTTCTGTACACTAATACTTCATTTCAGCCTTTTCACACCTGCTTCTAGTCCTTTCAAAATGTTCCTCTGAAAGAAAATAGATCTGGTTTTTTTCTGTGAAAATAATTATCATTTGACTCAAAAGTGACAGGGTACCCATGTACAGTCATGACAGGGTACCCATGTGCATGTGCCAGGTAGGTTTGTTATCTTTGAAGGGGTGGCACTAATTTATAGAGTTTGAGAGAAGTATATTACAAGGTATCATAATTCCCAGGTAGCAATAATATGAAAGGTCTGACTAAAGGGCACTTTGAATTAGAGTTTTTTAGCCACAACGAAAACTAGTTAAAACTTGGCAGCTGCTGTTGGTCTGTACTGCTGAAACTTTGTGCATATTCTATCAGTGAAGTGTCATAAGAGTTACAGAGACTCTTGAGGCAATAGTTTGGTCACCAAAGGTATGTTAGAAAAGACTGTAAAAGAAGGAGTAAAGGGACTGTTATCCACAAGGTGAACACTGCCTGTTTCTGTAGCCTGCCATCCTCTTCTGGTAGCCTGGTATGCCAATAAAGATACCTCATTTCCTCATTTGCTCAAGGTTTTCTGCTTATGTGCTGTCTGCACACATAAACTTAGCATGATGCTGTAACACACCATTGTTTGACATGAGACCCCTCTTGCCTGTCAGTGCACCTGAGCAGTGAGTTTGCTACAAGTACTCAGGTCAGTTGATGTCCTTGTGTGGTTTTGCAGGTGGCATAGCTCTCTCCAAGGTGTAGGCAAAACCTGAGCATTGTAAACCCAACGTTCTTGTTAGAAGTGCCAGCTCTGTATTTGAGTTTTTTTTGTTTTCTGTACCTTGTGTGAACTACTTTGCACACCCAGACAGAAGGAAACAGTCACAAATTGCAAATGAACTGTGTCTCTGAGCAAAGCTTTTGTAGCAAGAAATGCATCTGTAAAAACTTTAGTATTATCTTTGATATATGAATGGGAGCTAAAAAATTCAGCAAAGATATGCCCATACCTGTGTGTGTGCCTGTGTCTTAATATCTGTGAAATCCACATTCCAAGAAAGGACTAAATATGGTGCATTAGAAGGACCTGCTCTGATCAGCATTCAAGAGATAACATGCCAGGAATAGCTCAGGACAGACAGGGATGTACTGGCCATGCTGAGTGGAGGATAACTCACATCTTAGCAGCAGGGAACTTTTCACCCTGAGCTTCCTCGTTCTGTCATGTTGGATAATGATAAAAGATTGTTTCTACATAAACTCTGGTCTCTTCTGCCTTAAGCTGCCAGTGTGCTAATACCTGCTGGTGAAGGCTACTGCAGAGGTTGACCTAACTTTCTCCTTGTTGGCTAGTTTCAGCAGGCAGGAGTGTGGTCCTTGAGGAGGAATAATTTATGTCCAAATTCCTAAGAGGTTCAGGATGGAGAAATGCAGCTGTGGCACTGTGGGGGAGCTAACTCTGTTATTGCTTGTACTGAATCTGTGCTCTGGATGAGTGCAAGGTATTGTTTTTTTGAGGCTGTCTAATCTGACATGTGTTGTCCACATGCAATTCTCCTAAGGTACCAAAAAGTACAACTGAAAAGCTGAAATTCCTAAAATAAAACCCCAACCCCTCAAAAAAACCCCAAAAAACACCCTAGAAAACTGAGCAGCTGAGTCATGTGTACCCCCTCAAAAAAAACCCCAAAAACACCCCAGAAAACTGAGCAGCTGAGTCATGTGTATTGTTCACTGCAGTTCTGGAAATGAGAAGGCTGTAGTGACTTTCACCTAAAGGGCTTGTTTTGTAGCACCCTGTGCTGGTTGCAGGTTGGCACTCTGAAAAGATGCTGTCGTGTGAAGGTTTATGCCTAAAGTCCAAGGAGGCCACGAGATGTTTGTCAAGGTCATCAAAACTTGCAGGATCTTAAAATAAACACAGGGAAGTTTAGTGACATTATTTTACTCATCAGCTTCTGTGCTTGCAGAAATGAGTATCTGGAGACTTTTCATGGTTAATTTTAGTGCTTTTTAATGTGTAGTATTGTATGCTGGGAATTTTTGTTTCAGCACAGCAGAGTTGTTAAAAGAACTTCATGGATTCTGACAGCAAAGTGCTTTTGTGTTGAAGCAGTTCCAAAAGCAGCCCACAGCATTTATTTTTTGTTGGTGGTTGAAATTCAGGGAAAAAAACTGGTTCCTTCTTTGGAGTTAATCCTTGAAGTCTTCCCCCATTTGTATGTGCAGGCAGAGGGAAA